GAATTCCAAAAACCAAGAAGAGAACATGGCATAGGGTAGGCACTCAGCAAATACTTATCTGAATGAATGAGCAAGTGGATGAAGGAATGAAGGAAAGGAAGGAAGGAAGGAAGGAAGGAAGGGACATGGCCCTAGCAGAGTTCTGGAAGGCACCTGGGCCAGTCTTGGCCCTCGTGAGGCTTATAGCATTGGCAGACTCTCCCAGGTTCACTATGCATAAGCCATGTCCTTTTCTAGTGCCCTATTCCCAGCACTGAAATGGTGTACTTTGAGCTAGGTATAGAAGGGAAATGCTGTAGCTGGCAATCAGAGAGCAGAGTCCTCAGGCATGACTACTGTTTAAGTAGCACTGTGTATTGAGACCTAAATTCACCAGCAGTCAATTTCTATTTTATCGACTCTGTTGAATTATAATTTATGTACATCATCAATGACCAATTTTTAAGTTGTTCTTTTTTCTTAAATTAAAAAAATTTAAAGTTATTCTTAAAAAAATAAAAGAAAGAAAGGAAAGGAAATCTAGTTTCAAGAGGAAGGAGTATGGCTGGTAAATTGAGAAATCCCAGGTAGAGAATATTTGTTTGATGATGTTCCTTATAAGTGAACCAGTAACTGTCTTTTGGGTTTGGTAAAAGGTTTCCATGTTTGGGACACTGGGGGATTTCTTCCTCCTCCTTAGCTCACTTTTCCTGGCTGGAACTGAGGGATGGTCATTGGAGCAGCAGCTGTGGTGGCAAATATGAAGTGGAGGTGAGTGTACCGGGTCTGCAAGAAGGCAGACCTGGGTTCACATGGCAACACCACCTCTAAGGCGCTGTGCAGTCTCTAACCAGTTCTTGGGAGTCTCCGGGCTGCTTCAGACTTCTCATCTGTATAACGGATGTATCGGAGGACTGTGAAGTTTAAATACATTATGCAGGCTGGCTGTGTGGTGGGGCAGTGACGTGCTGCTCAAGAGAAGCTCGATCCCACATGGCAACCATGGTTTGACTCCCCAGCCTGGTCAACTTGAAACTCTCTAGGCATGCATGAGTGCCCAAGATCTGATGGGCTGGAGGAAAGGAGGAAGGAGGTTGCAGTATGGATGACCCTGTGGAGAGTGCCCCCTCTCCTTCTCTCTCTCTTACCCTCTGTGCACAATCACTCTATCATGAGTAAAGGAAAACACGCATTATCCGTTTAAAGTACTTTCTGCTGGTGCTTGCACATGGTTAGTGTGTGATACGTGCTAGCAGTGTTCTTCCTATGCTCACGACCCACCAAGTCCCTCATCCCTGTGGATTTGTGCTCTGAACCACCATGCTTTGCTGACTATCGACCTTCTGGATGGCTCTGGCTTCACATCTGTCACCTTGTGTCATGACTATCGCTCCGAGTCCTTACCTGGCTTTTCAAGCTCTGGATCTCTTTCTGTTTGGCACCAATGTCTTCATCCAGAGCCTGAAACTTCTGCGAGATCTCCCTCCCGTTCTGCCTGGAGATGGTTGTCTCAGACAGCTTCCGACTCAGTTCAGCCACTTCGTTCTGCAAGTTTACTATCACGGCATCTTTGTATTTGGATTCTATTTCAAAATCGGAGAGACGGCTCACCTCTTTTCCCAGCAGCAGAATGATTTCATCCTGAGTGGAGAGCAGATGAGAAGCTTACTAGGTATGGGTCCAGGGGCAAGGCTGAGCCCATGCAAAAAATGGAGGAAAATCTAATGTCGTTTTTCTGGTTGGGTGAGGGCAGGCAGGGAGGGAGGAGGCAGAATTTCGGGGTCATGCTGTCACATGGAAAGCCTTGTTGAGACAGGAGTTTGGTTAAAACGACATACTTGTCTACAGATTTCTAGAATGAAGTTTTAACCTCAAAGGTACAGATATGTTCCTTTGCTCTAAAATGATAGTTTCCTATCAACAACAATCCCACACTTGGGAACTTCTGTTGCCAGCAAGTTTATTTATAATATTTTTAGGAATTAACTTACCAGGTCTCAGTCTAGCACACTGGGGACCTAGGAAAGGGAATTAGGAGAATGACACTCTATTCTAGCATATTTCAATGATAATGAGGGCCAATTTTTTTTTAAAATCAAAAATGTAGTACATTCTAAAATACTTCTTTCCTCTCCTCTGGGTCTCCCTGCCTCTTTCAGTTATTCCCATAAAAATGTATTCCAGGCAACTGAGTCTGCAAAGTAAATAGAGGGGAATGATGATTTACATGTGTGGACTCCTGGAAATTTGAGGCTGGGAAAAACTCACGGCTAGCAGAATACCCACAGATGTAATTAACCTCCAAAGAAAAAGTTCTGCAGCCAAAAGAATTTGTTGGGTTTCTCAAAAAGGGAAAAAAAAAAAAAAAATCCTCCAACCTTCTCACTAGGGCCAGTGGTGGTTAAAGTGGCTGGATCTCACATGGCCGGGACCCCGCAGCTTGAAGAACATGTTGGGCATGTGTGCATGTGTGTCCAAGAGACAATGGAGGAGCCAAGGTTGGAGACATGACTGAGGCACGATCACGCCCCCTGCTGGGTGTTTTCTCCTCCCTCAACCCCGTCTCTCTCTCCAGCGAGAGTACATGCCCTATAGCAAAAACAAACACATAAAAACCACCGCAACAAAAACTTACTAGTAGTTATTAATAAAACTATCAGGAAGACTAGGAAAAGGAAAATTCCTAGATGTGTTTTCTTATGCAGCTACAGAATTTCGGATCAATTACTTTTGAAGAAAATTCTGCCTTTTCAACAGTTTCTCTTGGTAGGAAAGAGGTTAACATGCAGTTTCTAGCCAGCTCATTGCCTGGGGATTCTCTAAATCTGCCTCAGGATCTTCTATTCTCTTCCCTGGGGACCCACGGGATTTCAGTCACGAGGGAGCCCGTCCAGCGTTGCCAACTGCCGCCAAAGGTCTTTCTTTGAGTCCTTGTGAGCACTGTGGCAAAACTGCAAGGGACGGCCTTGCACAGACTGCATGCTGCCAGGCAGCCCCCCTGCTTCATCCAGTGTGAGTGACCCAGCCCGCAGGCCCAGCCAGGGCCTTATTTTGAGGTAACAAAATACTTCCTGAGCATCTAGGTTCCAGGCTAGATGCTGGGTCCTGGAGTACAAGGAAGCCGCAGTTCGTGGTGTGCCTATGCTCTCTGCCTTTCTGGCGAGGACTCTGGCCCCTTCCTGAGGGAGCACCTCCTACCCTCCCTTGTAATCTCGGTCGAAGTGTCAATCATGTGTCCCGCTCCTTCCTGCCCCTCCTCCCCACGCACATGTGACCCAGGTTCCTTCTGCGTTTTCTCAGAGATTTGATTAAAAGAAGAAGGTCTTGCTTCCTTTTGGATCATAAACGATTATAAGAGGAAGAAGGTCTTGCTTCCTTTTGGATCATAAACTTCATGTTCATAGGCATGAGTCGGCCTCCAGTGAGCTTTCCTGATACAAGGAGCCAGACAATGAGGGAAACATGGAGATACTGGTAGTGGGGCGTGTTCCGATGATGTCATTTAAGCTCCTGCATCCAGCCATGCCTGAAGCTAGTCTGCCTTTAACCGTTCCAGTAAGATAAGCCAGTAAACGCCCTTCTTTCCCTCACCTATTTGTTTATTGTCTCTTGCACTGGAAGGAGTCCTGGCAAGTCAGGACTCATACATATGAAAAAAAAAAATTATAACTGTGATTGCATCACATTCCAGTTTAACAACGGTGGTGGATTAAAAATGGTCTCCGATATTTTGTAGCTTCTGCTGTCAAGCAGTGGTGTCTAGTTCTCTTACCCCTAACTCTAGCCTGGCCCTATGACCTGCTTTGACCATAGCATATGGTAAATATGATGTAAGTGACCTGCAGCAAGTTTTTTTTTTTTTTTTTTTTTTTTTAAGGTTTTTGCCATTGGGCATGTGTACTCACCAGAAAGAGGGGAAGTGAGAAATCACCCTCCCCAGGGAGGACGGCCATATTGTAATCCCTTCTCCTCCAGTCTCCTCTTGGGATTTTAGGCACATATGCACATGTGCTCATCATGATTTTTCAAGTTGTTGGGTCCAGGACTCAAACAGCAGTCGGCCAGGTGGGTGTCCAGTGTCTTAAACACTTTAACCAGTACACCATCTGCTGGCCTGGCAAACAAGTTCTTTAAAATGTTTTTTTTAAATTTGGGACCAGCAGTTGGTATAATGGCTATGTTGCTGGACTCCCATGTAGTCGACTGTGGTTCGAGTCCTGGACCTGGTGGCTTAAACTCACGCCAGGCGTGTGTGCGTGCATGCCCAAGATCCCGAGAGGAGTATGGAGGAGGAGGGATTGCAGCATGGCCATCCCCCCTAGAGGGTGATTTCTTGCTTTCTGTTTCTCTGTCTCTCTGTCTTTCTGGCAAGTACACATGCCCTATAGCAAAAACCTCTCCAAAAAATAATTTGTTAAAATTAAATTTTATTTATTATTATTATTTTTAAAAATTTGCTATAGAGGACACGTGCTCACCAGAGAGAGACAGAGATGGGGGGGATGCAAAGTGAGAAAGCCAGCTGCCAGGTCTGGGATTCAAACTACAGTCAGCACCTTAACCACCACACTATCTGCTGGTGCACCTGCAAGCAAGGTCTTAAGAGGTCATCCAGCTTCTGTCCTGGCCTTCTGGGAGCCCTGAGACCACCATGCTGTTAAAATCCAGGATGAAAAACCACCTGCAGAGAGGTGCATGTCATTCCAGGCTGAGGTCCAGACATAGGAATGAGGTCATCTAAGACCGTCAGCCCCTGACTGCAGTTGTATGAGACAAAAGACACTAGTTGGGGAAACTTCTGGGTGGATCCATGCCTCCTGAAAAGAAATAAGTGGCTATTCAAGCCACGAAGTTTTGGGCTGGCTTGTTACGCAGTGGATGCCTGACAGAGACCCAACTTAGTGCAGCACTTCTCCAAGTCTAGGAGTCAGGCATGGACACCAGCACCGCCCCGGCCTGCAGCTATAGGTGCTAGGCATGGCTCTCCTGTGTGTAGCAGGAAGCCAGGTGGCGTAGGTGCTCTCCTGTGTGTAGCAGGAAGCCAGGTGGCTCTGCTCCTCACAGATGCTGAGAATTGTGGTGGGTATGGGCCCCAATCCTTAGGGAAAGCAAGACATTGTTGGACTCTTTGTTTCCTTTAGGATAAATTTCAGGGTGCGGCTAAGTGGAGCGAAATCAGCCAGGATCCATCCTTCCCAGGTTTGCTTAAATTCACCTGCTCTGACTCCTGCTCCTGTTCTGAACTTCTCTGGGTTTTCAAACGAACAAGTCTCTTTCTCTCCTTAGCTCAGTCATCTCTGATCTGAGCTCTCGCGTCCTTCCATGTTTTCCCCACCACTGTCCCATCACTTGTGGGTGACTGAGTGGTTATCGTGTGGATTTTAGAAGTTCCACCTTAGGAGCTAACCAAACCTGGGTCTGAATCTCAATTCTCCCACCTGCACTGTGCAAACTTGGGCAAGTTGCTTAACCTCTCTGAGCCTCAGTTTTCTTACTGGTGAAGTGAAAGCGATAAAACCTGTTTCGAAGATGGAGAAGATGAAATGAGTTCATGAATGTCAAATGCACAGGACACAGTCCAGTCAGCAGTAGGTACTCAACAAATAGTGGTAGCAGATGTTGTTTCTGATAAAAGTTTTGCTAAGAGGTGGTGCCTTGGAAGCAGGCAAAAAGGGCACTTCTAGGTCACAGAACAAGAAGAAAGCCCCTCTGTGGTCCACTCGCTGCTGAAGTGCTGCCCTTTCCGAGACCTCTTACCTTGTCCTGCTGGGCCAGGTCCTGGTCCACGTAGATCTCCGTGGGGGGCACTGCCTCGGGAATCTCCTCAGGCATGGACTGTACTGGCATTTCCATGACATTGGTCCACACTGAGCCGGGAGAGCAGCAGAGAACACAGGAGAGGCTGTGAGTCTCCCGAAGGCCTAGCGGGAGGTCAGCAGCTTCACCACCACACCACCCACTGCCCCACCATCTGTGAGTGTCTGGGTTAGTCTTCCCATTTGCTTTCCCTGAGATTCACACTTAAAGTAATTGATTTATTTATTAAGATTTATTTATTTAATTTTATTTGTTATTATTATTTATCTTTTAACTTGACCAGAGGGAGACAGAGAGAGAGAGAGAGAGAGAGAGAGAGAGAGAGCAAGTTGCAGGTCCAGGTCCAGGACTCAAACCACAGTCGACCACGTGGGAGTACAACACCTTAGCCACCACGTCACCTGCTGGTCCCAAGTAATTAATTTTTTAAAGTTTATTTTATCATGATAGAGGCTGCGTGCACATGCACGTGAGAGGAAGAGTAAGAGAGAAAGGAGAGAGATAGGGAGAGAGAGAGAGAGAGAGAGAGAGAGAGAGGTAACCTTGCCAGAGCCTTGTCCCACCACAGTCTCCTCCCCAGCCCTCCACCTGTCAGGGTCTTTGGCGCATGTGTGCACCTGGGGTGTTTCTGACCGGTGAGGCTGGGAATCTGAACCTGTGCTCAACCGTGTGGCTTCTGGCGCTGTAGTTCGGTACGCTGCCGGCTGCACCACTCAGGCTGGGCCAAGTCTTTTTCTTTTAACTTATTTTTTTTGTTGTTGAGAAAGAAAGAGACAGAGACAGGGTCCCTGACAGTCTCTCCATGCTGTGAGCCTGCCCTCAGCCTCCCAGCCAGCCCGGTCACAGTGTGCCTGGTGTATTTAGGCGATCCTAGTTACCAATCCCGGGGGACTCCCACGTGCTCTAGCATTGCACGGTGGTGCTGTGGCTAGGCCCTGTACGGCCCTTAGAGTGACAAAGTAGTGCGGGTGCTGGCTAGGGGAAAGGGCCACCTCACTCCCCCTGTGCTCACTGTGCTGTTATGCACCTGATGTGGCCCATTCCAGACTCCGTCTATGTCATGTAAGAGCTGGTGACCTTGGGCAGATCACTCAATCTCTCTAAGCCTTGTCCACATACAGGATGTTATTTAGGGACACTAACAGTCTCTATATAAGGGGGTAGCATGAGGCTCGAATGCCAGATGGTGGGGCCAGTGGCTGGAGTGGTGGTTAAGGTGCTGAACTCCCGCTAGGCTGACTGCGGTATGAGTCCTGGACACGGAAGCTTGCTTTCTCCCTTTCCCTCTCTTTCTCTCTGGTGAGCACAGTGCCCTATAGCACAACTTAACAATAATAATAATACTAATAAAATAAATACATAAATAATAAGTAAAATAAAGACAGCTGGTACGGCACAGAGGTTGGCACACCACGCCCCTGGGGCTCACTCTGGCCCACAGGCTGGATGTGAAAATAAAGTTTTATTGGGACGTGGCCGCAGGCTCACTCGTGTGTCACCCACGGCTGCCTTCCTGCTACAAAGGCAAAGCTGGATGGTTGCGGCTCAGACTGCACAGTCCACGGAGCCCGTGGGATTGACCACTGGCCCCGGGATATCGAGATTCCTAAGAAAAACTAACATATACATATTCGGTCTTCACCTTGTTTCCTGGCACACGGCTCCTAAGTCTTTTGGAATCTCTAGGGTGTTGTGTGTTCTGTACACTGATGAAATGGCTCACAGCTGGGGCTCATGGATAGCTCTGGGATGGGGCTCAGTGTCAGGAGGACCAACCATGTGGTTAGAGAGCTGGAACTTTCCGCCTCACCCCTAGTCTCAGGACGAGGGGGCCGAAGGTGAAGGGGATCCCCAGTGGCAACAACTTGGCCAGGCCTACGCAATGAGGCAGTCGTGAAGGCTCCGAGGACTGGGTCTGGAGCGCTCCTACGTTGCTGAACACATGGCGGTGCCTGGAGGGCATTGCCTGGGAGAGTCTGGAAGCTTCCTTTCCCCAGACCTCACCCTACATAGCTCTTCATCTGGCAATTCAGTTGCGTCTGCCACAGTTTCCTTCGTAATAACCCTGCAGTCCTAAGTAAAGTGTTCCTGGGTTCTGGGAGCCGTTCTAGGAAATGATCGAACCTGAGGAGGGGATCGTGGAGACCCCCAAATTACAGCCGATCTGTCAGAAGTGGTCTTTTGAAGTGAGGGCGTCTTGCGGGGCTGAGCCCTTAACCTGTGGGATCTGACCTGAACTTCGGGTCAACAGTGTTGGAATCGAACTGAGACACAGACACCAGCTGGTGCCGGAGAGCCGCCTGGTGGGGAAGAGCAGCCCCGGCATTTGGGTGACCAGAAGTCTTGTGCTGTGAGACTACAGAGGAGAAGAAAACCGTTTGTTTTTCTTCTTTCCAGGAAAGGTTAGCTGCGCCCTATGTAGAGCATTTTGGCACCAAATGCTGGGTATTTTTATGGTCACGGTATCTTCACAAACACACCTGGATTTACGTCGCAGTGACTCTGCTCCAGTTTGCTCACTCAGCGGCCGGGAAGGTCTCCTGCCATATGAGCGTTTATAGCTGGGCCGCCCTCCTTCCAATAGCAGCACCTCAGTTCACGTACACGTGCTTCCACGGAATTTGACTAGGACCTCGACAGATAGGTAGCAATGCCTGATGTTTTTCTTTTTTTATGTACAGCATTACAGGGGCTGTTTCTATGGCTTGTCACGTGTGAGGCCCCTCTACACGTCCTATCAAACAGATTCCAGATCCCTCACATCAACGCTGCGTCAGATTGTTTTTTGGTGTAGAAATACGTGGAAGAATGTCTATGATTCTGCTTCAGCGATGACGTAGCTCCGAGCAGGGCATGAGCCGCACAGTTTCAATCCCCAGCCGACTGATTTCTGGGTAATTGCCGTGCATGCTTGTCTTCTTGTGAAATGAGAAACGGAGCCAATTGTTTTCAAATGTAATGAAACATTAATGAATATTAACACAAATAATTGATGAAGCCCGCACCTCACATTTATGGATATTTATTTGATCATTTATTCATTTTGATTCTGCATTTTTTATTTATGTTGTGTAGAGGCAACGGTTTCCCTGCAGGTTTCAGACATGTTTGTGGACCTCAGAACCACAGGCCCAGCACTGTCCTGAGTTTCCTGGGGAGCACAAATGGAACGAGGCCTGGACTCCAGTCCTCCCTCACTGTCCATGCACCAGAACAGGCCGGGATCACAGGAAAGTCCTGATTCTGCTTGGATTGTTTTTAATTGCCAGAGGGTGCATGCACGTGCCAGAGAGAGGGAGAGAAAGAAAGAGCACCCCACAATAGGGTGCTTTTAAAAATTTTATTTTGGGACCAGCAGTTGGCGTAATAGCTATGACTCCCATGTAGTCGACCAAGGTTTGAGTCCCGGACCCGGTGGTTTAAACTCACACCAGGTGCATGTGCGTGCATGCCCAAAATCCCAAGAGGAGAATGGAGGAGAAGGGACTGTGGTATGGCCATCCCCTGGGGGGTGATTTCTCACTTTCTGTCTCTCTGTCTCTCTCTCTCTGTCTTTCTAGCATGCTCCCTATAGCAAAAACCTCTCCCTCCCCCAAAAATTAAATAAAAATAAAATAAAAATGTTTATTTCTTCTAATGAGTGTGAGAGACAGAGAGAAACAGCACATTTGGTCCTGAAGCCGCATCAACCTCACCCTTTGGCTAGCCTGGGTCATGGCAAGAGCCTAGACTTGAACCGTGAACCTCCCCACGTGGGACTGCCTTGCAGAGCCTCGTATTGTACTGCTGCACCACCATCTAGCTTTATTTTCCTATAGGCGATAAAACAAATTGAGCGGCTGCAACTCTTCCAAAGAGGAAGTAAGCAAAGCCCTCCCCATTACACCATCTTTCCCTCCGGTGGCAAGTGCATCCACAGCCAAACTCCTCTGGACCTTGGGCCACGTCCCCTCCCTCCCTGCCAGCTGACCGTGGCTTCCCATGGCCGTTTTTACGTGACCTGGCTCCTGCTCCAGCCGCCCGACTCTGGCAGGGATGTTCCTCCAGGAGCATCCCTTCAGCTAAGCTCATTTCCCTTGCCCTCGCCCCACGTTGGTCCGGTGGCAAGTGCATCCACAGCCAAACTCCTCTGGACCTTGGGCCACGTCCCCTCCCTCCCTGCCAGCTGACCGTGGCTTCCCATGGCCGTTTTTACGTGACCTGGCTCCTGCTCCAGCCGCCCGACTCTGGCAGGGATGTTCCTCCAGGAGCATCCCTTCAGCTAAGCTCATTTCCCTTGCCCTCGCCCCACGTTGGTCCTGGCCACTTGCAGCCCTAACTGCTTGGAATGCTCCCGAAAGGCTTGCGGGGACCATGCACTGTTCTGAGAGCTTCCAGGTGTAACCTCCAGCACTCATGACAAGGCTGCGAGGTGCGTGCTGCTCTCAACTCCTTCTTAGAAACCAGGGCCCGGATGCAGGCAGCTTGAATGGGTCACGTGTCTAGGAAAGGCCAACCCAGATGGTCTGGCTCCAGACCGGGACACCCAGCCCTTATGTGATAGGTCCCCACCTATGTGCTGAGTGAGTACACGAGGACCCTCTCTCTCAAATCCTCCCGTTTTTCCTGAATTCAGGAGCCAGCCCACCTAAAGAGCCATCAGCAAGAGCAGAGATGTGAGGGTTGGGCAGTGTCCGGCCATGGGCTGTCACCTCCTGCT